TGTCCTCTTATTTCTCTAAATCAAGACTATCAGTTCAATCTGTACCTTCTCTCGGTGGATTTTTCTGAGATGACTCAGCTTCACAGATCATGCGACATTTTACATTCTCTCTTGTAACCTTTAATGCTTCTGATTGTCTGTTTAATAGATAAATTCATGTGCTGCTTCTGGAGTGCATTTGGTTAAACCCAGGGGTTGTATGATTCGCACTGCCTGATTATTCTTTAACGTTTATGTGGGCTCCCTTCAGGGCACTGAGGATTAGCTTTGCAATGCTGCTCCCAGTTTATTTTTAAAATTTTATTCAGACGGTTGCCATGAATTCCCAAAGCAGGGAACATCCCTCCACTTACTAAACGCAGCCCTCGCAAGCACCGACTACATCTTTTGCGGATTGCGTTTGCATCAGCCCCTGCACCCTTCCGTCCCTTAATTAGCTCCACATGCAAAAGTCCCGCAGCACAACACCCCAGGGAAGAAACGAGGCCTGGGTTAAAAAGAAAATCCTTCCGTTCTGGTGCCTGAGAAGCTGAAGCAGCAGCCCCCGATCCAGCAGCGACTCCCACACGTTCCAGGGGGTGTTAAATCAAAGTCGAAACGAGCCGCTACTTTTACAGTTCCAGCAATTACTGCCAAGACGTTGTCAAGCGGACATAACGCATGCTCTCTTTCCACTGACCGCTTGCTCTATCCCACACCTATAATATTATTTGCTAATCTCTCTGGCTGTGAGCAATAAAAGATATCTTTTTATTCAGAGATCAGGCCCACCTGCTTGTGCTTAGCAGAACATAAGCTACTGCAGTTTCTTCCCCCACACTTCTCGCACGCGGACGGCCAAATGACGTACAGATACAGTTTCTGAAATCGCATTAGCCTCCGTACAGCCAGCACTCCTGAGGGGAAGACCTAATCTCTACCCTTCTGTTTTACCTTCGTCTTTCTCCTGGGCACTTTTATTTTGTGTGCTACTGGACGGAGCTGTAATTAATTCACACACCTCGCTCCAGGCCTCTCTCGGTGGAGGGGTCAGGTTACCTCCTGCCTGGGATGCTGCAAAGCATCAGGCTTGCAGGCAGCACCGGGAGCCCCCGGCACGGCCGGGGCAGGGCTGGCAGCAGCAGCATTGCTCCCTGGAGCTCATTCATCAGCTGAGAAGAAGATCAGAGCATTAAGGCTTCCCTGGTCCACACCAACCTCGCTGTCGTTGCGGGAGGAGTCACGGGTGAGGGACGCTCCAGGCACAGCCGGCAGGTTCGTGAGCTGTGGTGGCGGCAGCAATAGCGTAGGAGCCCTGCACAGGGCTTCAGCTCCACCGTCCCTGCGTCGGCGGGATTTCTTTGCTTCCCTTCAATGGCCAACGATTACTAGCGCTTCCAGCTCAGGTATCACATTTCAGTCTTCCGCCTACGTAGGGCTAGCCGACAACCGCAGGGAGCGGTGTGGGATCACAGCATCCCTGTTAAAGCTCTGCTGTTTAGCAAGGCAGTAGATACCTGTCACGACAGCGCTCGCGAACCAACAGGATGATACCTTCTGCCAAAATACAGCGGACACATCAGCCTCTCTCACCTTCTCCCAAAGGGTCTGCTTTCAAAGCTTCCTTAGCGCCAGCCCCTCGCTCCCCGCAGGACTTTGCGGCCCAGACGGGAACGTGGCTGCGCTGGAAGGACGCCGGTTACGCAGCTTGGGGACCGAGCTCACCAAGCAGAGCCAAGGACACACGCAGTCGAGGCACCCGCCCCGCCACAGTGGGACACCCCGCGCAGCGCCGAGCTCCGAGATCGGTGGGATCTGCTTTCGAGAAAGATTTTTAAGCGCACAGTGTAAGCTGACAAAAACACGCCTTGGAGGATCTGGATGGTCCCCTCACAGCCGCTGATGAGGGGTAGCGTAGCACCATCATCTCTAGCGGGACGTCTTCCCCGCTCGGCTGGACGCTGCCGAGAGGAGATGCTAACGTCTCCAGAGCAAAGCGTCCCTTCCTCTCGCAGGCAACGGCTGCGATTTTTGAGGAACTGGAGGGCCTTTCATCAGTGTCACAAGCACACAGGACTGCTTCTAGCTGCTAAAGAGGATCCTCTGCAAAGCTCTGAAGACTAAATCATTATTTGTATTTGCCACATCAAACTGCAATTTTGAAAGCCCGTGTTCAGGTATGCAGGTGTGCCAGGCACGCTGCGCTCGACTAAAGTCCAATGTGAACTACCGCCGTTATCTTGGGCTTGGCCCACCGGTAATAACTCAGTAACGATAATCAGCATTAAAATCTCAACCCACCTGACCTCCAGACCTGCTGGTGCTTTTGAAAGGCGGTTTCTGTTTGCTGGTGAAGAGGTTCCAGTTTCGTCACCCGTATCAATTTTTTGCTTTGCCTGAAATTCAAACTTGTAACAAAGGAATAAAGGAGTACACACACGTGACTTTTTAGAAAATAGAGTAAAAATTATTTCTAATTTTTGCCCTTTGTAGCATACTTGAACACTAAGTTTGGCATTTGGAAAGATGCTAAGCAAGAGCTGCCTAGGAATGCCAGCGCAGTAGAAGCGGTGAAAGTCTTCCCCGTGACACAAAAGACCGAAAGATAACAGAAACTAAACAACACAGACCCATCCTTCCCTTCTAAGGCAAGCACTAGTTTCAATATCAAACATGTATTTCCATCAAGTAATTTTCCTCAGCAGGGAAAAGGACCACGTGCTTACACCAGTCTCCTAGGAGAGACCCTCGATTTTGTAGCAGCGTCGGCTGACACCGATACACTATATTTTTCCTTAGCCACTTCAGCGACTTCAAACTTTTATGCATTCTAATACATGAAGTTAAATTAAGGGAACATGACCACGCAACTAAACTTTCCTGTTCACAAGGAAAGCTTTTGGAAGGAGAGCGTAACAGAGCGGACCTTCAAGTCCGGCTTCTCAAATAACGCAGACAACTCATTTGACATAGCTCGCATTCAACGTTTTAAATTCTCCATTGATTCAGCTAACGTAGCTTCTGCTATTTTAAGAGCATTCTTGAAAGGCAACTTTCAGATTTACCTGTTAAACCCTTTCGAGACGCACCGAGCAGGTCTCCTCCCTGCGTCGGGCCGGTTTTCATCGCGCAGTAACGGGCAACACGAGGCCCCTTGGTCGCTGGGCTCACGGAGCTACTGGGGTTCCCCGAGGCTTGGATCTGTACAAGACAGTTAGCTCACCCAAAACGTTTTGTGTCCAGTGAAACAGTTTTCAGCTTTAAACAAAACGTATTTTGTTCAGGCCACTGGAACAAATACTACCAACATCCACAGCTAAACAGCATCCACTTGCACGATTTATTGAAGATATATTTACTGACACTTGGCATGCACGATAAGACGCAGCCGTCCGAAGCGAAGACAAACTCTGGAGAGCCCTGGTCGGAGTACATCACGCTACGCTGTTCCTCTTCGAATGCGAGCAGGGTTACACAGACTGCTACTTCCGTACGGGTACGCGAACCGAAGCTCCAAAGTCACTGAACAAACGCTGGTTCCGGTCGAAATCTGTCGGAGTCTGGACAGTACCCAGCGACCCATCAGCTTATGCTGGAGGCAAACAGAGGGCAGCTGAGGCCCGTGGCACCCGGCAAGGGGTCTGTCCTCGCACGGCCCCGCAGCTCCCGGCCCCCTCGCCATGCTGGGCGACGAACTTGTTGGCAGACGGCAAACGCCGAAGCGGGGAAGGAAAGGCGAGGGCTCGGGGAGCACCACGCTGGGCAAGAGGGAAGGAAGAGGCAGGCTGCAGTCAGCAGGTTGCAGCTCGCTCGGCCCGGGGCTCGGGGACAGCGGCCCTCCGGTTTTCCACGCTGCGTTCACCCTTCGCAAACATCCCTCGTAAGGAAGCGTGGTGGCCTCTCTTTCTTACGCCATCCTTTCTTGGTCAGTTCATTCTGTTGCCTAGCGGGTAAACGCAGATGAAGAATGTGATCTGGGTTGAAACCAACTAAAACCAACAGTTTAAACCAATGTCAGCTCCCCAGGGTGGGTCGCCGCGTGCTTATTGAAGGCTGGTGCAAGTCCGAAGGAGAGGTGCCACAGGGTGGGAGTCAAAGGCCAGAGGTGGGAAGAAAGAAAGGCAAATTTCTTTCAGTACTGATGACCCTTAATGCAGCCCAAGACACAGGCTGCCAGTAAAACGTTTCTTGGTAACTTCTAGCATTATGGAACAACGAAAATCTGCTTCGCCTACAGCAGAAACCTTAGATTAATAGTCATCTCAGTCACGGTCCAGATGCGTACCTCACAATATTCTCACTGAAAACCTTTTTTTTTTTTTTTTTGAAACCCCCCCCCCCCTCAAATTTTAAATACAGCAACATTTTTGATTTGCCTCAGCATACGTTAGTTTAAAACATTTTTGCCAAGGGATTATTAATCTATTTTCTTCCTTCACGCATTATACAGTCTCAGCAAAACCGAATGGTTTCCTCCCCTCTTCCGACTTACCTCAGCTACAGCAGTTTTTCCCCACATTCAGCACCCAGCAGGCATGCTGGCAACGGAAAACTTAACGACAAAACCCCGAAGGCGTTGCTTGAAAAACAAACACTTTGAAAGAATAGCAAGGAGTTTGCAAATAGACTGTGCAGGAGTAAGTGCAGAGCCTATCAGCCTGAGAAGTGCTGATTTAAGCTGCTTCATCACTAGCCAGCTCGTTATCAGTCCATGCCAGTGAAGACTGCTGTTGTTTTCTGCCCTCGTAAGACTTGCTACTCAGCAGCCTACCTGGACTCCGTGAAGCCAGGACGGACTCAGGGCTGGCAGCTACTCAGGAAAGGTTGATTGCTTTCTTCCATGATAGTATAGTCTTTTATTGTGTGTCATACATACAAAAAATTGACAATTCCAATGAGTGCAAGAGTTTCACTGAAATGGTCCAGAGCATTGTACTATGGCGATGCTCAATCTCCAGTTCAGATTCGAACACCCACATCATTTTTCATTTCAAACATTTAACCCACCTACAAGAGGAAAATATTTATATAATTGTTTTATTGAGACTATGTCAATCTGGAAACAGATGGATAGACAACAAGGTGGGGGGAAACATGCCAAATTAATAGGAGCAACACCTCCTATCAGTCGTTTCCAAAATGCAATCTGCTACATACTGTAAGATTTTGTCAGTTGGTCTATGCAAGGGGCAAAGCATTTCCAGCACGTGCCTAGATCATCTAAGCACTTGTCAACACTGTGGCACTAACAGGATTGCAAGAATTCATCAAACTGGGCCAAGTTCAATGAATGCATATGGATTTCCAGGAAAGTGTCACAAATAGCCATGTGTAATAGTGCATGATCTATTACTCGGTATTAGAGGGGATGCTTTTCTCAAGATTTTCTAATTGTTCTTCGAGAAATTTAATCTGCTCTTCGAGGTCCTTCTGTTCGATCAGTAAGGAGGTCTTCACCTGAACAAAGTGTCTGTAGCCCTGGAGCTGTTGATCAGTCAGGTATTTGGCAAGGATACCAAAAACCACTCTTGCCCTACGATCTAGATTTTCTTTCAGCTCTTTTGCATCTTCCCGCTGTCTAGACAGGAGCTCATGCCGTTCATTCAGCGATTGCTAATATGGAAAAAAAGAAAAAAGAAAAATCACAGTATGAAAACTCATAATTTCTGGCAGACTCAGATCTTCATTTGGAAGCCGCAGTCTATTTAGCTTAATTACTTCCTCTTGTGGGTTTTGTGTTCCATATAAGTTTTTTCTAGATCAAATTACTCACTCTTGTGGCTTGTAAGGTAAAGATATCAATAAATCCCATCAAAGCTCACTTCTTCTATGTTGTCCTCAGGAAAAAAAAAAATTAATATGCTTAAAATTCTGGTAATTTTAGAATATCCTGTATCCAGTTTCTTTCAATAAGAAGCTCTTTTAGGCATACATTTTTTGTATTTTGTGAGTTGTGTGTGGTCAGGGTGCCAATACCATATTAAAAAGAGTATGACTGCTATGATCTACGTGCAATACAGCAACCCTGATACAGACAGTAACTGTTCATCAAAGGTTTCTTTTAAACAAATCCACAAGAATCAAGCCTTGCCTGTTCTACAGGATGTTAATACCTTTCACATTTTAGCTAATTCTGTTTCGGCTGTAGTGATTTTCGTAGGGATAGCACTGCCAGAAAATTCCCATTTTCAGGACCACATCGATAAAACCAGCATAGAGCTGCTGTAACCATGTGCATGCTGAAAACGGCAGTTGGATTTGAAGACTGGGACTCCTGGATTTGCCATAAAAATGATGGCACGTCAACAAGTCTTTATTGAGCATGTTACTCAAAGTCTTGAATAAACGATTTTAATGTATTTACTATGAAAAGCACAAACATAATCTTCAAGAGACAACTCCCCTCCACAAACTAAAGTGTATTAGCCAAAGCTAATGTAAAATACTGCCTAAAAATTATTCATGTTAACACCACTGACGTTTCAGTGCAGGTGGATCCTGAGTCTCCACACCGCATTGTATGATAGGATTCTGTCAGTGGCCTTCTGAATTTGAACTATAGTAATCCTCTAGCACCCTGAGATCGGCAGCAGCACAACTCCATGCAACCCCAGTAGTAACTCTGTGCTTTTCTGATTTCTGAATGAGAAATAAGCACAGCAGGCATTGTGTTGAAAAACATGTTTAAAAGCAATAAGAACAGCAGAAATGCATCATTTCTGGGATAAACCGGGCTTATCTTCTCTATAAAAGTAGTATATTTCAGACTTGAAAAGACTTCCTTGTGACATGAGACAATTCCTAATTTTCCAGCAGAACCGGCTAGTTGAGTTAAATTGTGGGGAATTTTATCTCAACTTAAGACAATACCTTCCTCCCACTCCCTATAGCGGAGACAAGTCCATTGCATTGAGTGAAATAAGATTCCAAGTGCAGTATTTACCACACTGAAGCTGCCAATGGAAAAAAAAGTCCGAAGCACAGGTTTTGAACTACTCCCCAGGGAGCAGTTTGAGCATTCAAAAGCCACCGCTCTAGTTCAGACCCTCTCCAGGGTTTCGCTGCTCCTGCCGTAACCTCACGCTGCTCTGCGTGCGGCACGTTCAGTTTTGCTCTCCAGCACTGCACAGCTGCCCAAGCCACAGGCCTGGTCTGCTCCAGCTGCGGAAACATAGCCCACGGCTTCTTACTAACTGACTAAGCAACGGCTGGTATAATTCATCCATTTGTTCAGAGCTGTCAGATAAATGAGGCAAACACAGTCCCACCTTGAAAGAGGTGAACAAAACAAACTAAATTCCCTTATCTCTTGTCACTCACCTTCTCCTCAGCATCTGTTTTCTCATCAATCCTCTTCATGGCATTCTGGACTCGGGCAAGACGGCTGGACAAACAGAGCAACAGGCTCACAACCTTCTCCAGGTCACCGATGAACATCATGTAGCGCTCAAACTCATTGGGCTTGCAGACGTCCCGCACCATTGCCTCAAGCTCTTTGCCTCGCTCAGCACACTCCCTGGTTTCAGAGAGGACAAGCTCCCTTTCTTCCCCCAGGGTCTGCAGTTTTGATCGGAGGCTCAAGATGAGTTCCACCTGCAAACGGGGGAAAAAAACCACAGAAAACTTTGTTACTGCCAAAGAGAATTCAAATTACTTACAGGGTTTTCCTCACACCGTCTCTACCAAATTTTAGACTTTTAAAAAGTTGTAAGCTGCTAGGAAACAAAAAAAATGGAAGGATTTTCCAAGGCATATTTAATTCTCAAACTCTGAAGAGCGAGTAATCATCTTAAACCGGAAATACAGCTCAAAAAGCTTCCAGTCAGAGTTAGGAATAAACTAGAATAAAGATTACAACTTGATTACACGTGGTTATGCTCTAAGACTCGAGGAGGAAGTCACAGCTCTATTATACCAAACTTCACAAGATCTGACGGAAATTTCATTTACAATCTACACAGAAAAAGAGGATTTCACAGGGGATTCAAGCAAGCCAAATTAGCCTGTGTAGTAAACCCAGTGAGGGAGGCTGTTTGATAGAGAAGTGTTAATACGGAAAAAGGCCCAGAGATCAGAGCGGGAGAGCAAGTCTACCAGCTTTTATGGAAATCAGCCAGTGCTGACGCGAGCAGGAGCAGTTCAGCAACGTGCAATGAAAACTATCACCTCAGCCACAGCAGGAGGAATCCAGGAAGGCACATGGTAGTTACCCGAGACGGAATATAGCTAGGTTTCTATAGGAAAAAAAAAATTCTTCAAAGCTACATATTACTCTTCTAAGACACCATATTCCTATTAGTAGAGCTGTAGTCCAACTATAGCCAAGCTGATATTCTCTGTATGTATGGAAGTGAATAGATACATGTAGCGTAGCAATAGAAACTGCTGCCAGTTCTTGTAAAACGCATTTCTAATTTAGACTGCCAGTCGTAACGAATTTTACAGATTTTGAGACCAGATCTGAGTGTTAAGTTGCGAGTCAGCTGCTGCACAGGAGCTGATCTTGCAAGGAAATATATAACCAGTTCTGCTGCTTATATTTCAGTACATCCCATCCCCGATGACATGGTGAAGATAAGTATGTGGGAGGAGGGATTCGAATAAAACCAGACAGGACTTAAACACCACCATTTATGATCAATATACCAATCTGTCAGGACTTTAGCTGCTACCTACTGAAAAAAGTTAACTCAAAGTTTTCTGTGAAATAACGTTACTGGGAAAAAAAAAATCATGAATAAAAGCATCCGCAATAATATATGTAATATTAAAAGCTCGTCACGGTGAAGAAAGAATTGTTCCGTTCACGGTCATCTACCTACTTTCTTGGACGTGATGTCATCTAGGTCATTCGTGCAGTCTCTACTCCTATTCAGGATTTGGTTCTCCTTAGAAATAGGATCTTCGTTCCTTTGCCTGGCACTGTGTTCAGTTTCAGGGCTTCCTTCTGTTAGATCTTTATTACCTTTCCTGCTATTGAATGGAAAAGAAACACCTGTGACAAACAGAAACCTGTCCACAAACGTTATGTTCATAATTGTTCGCGTTGCTGTGTCAGAATCACACTTCCTCCTTCTCAGAGCCACAACGTTTCTAATTTTTGAAAAGATATGGAGCAAGAAATTTGCACCCGTGGATTGTCATCGTCCCTTTCTATGAGGGGTCATGCTGCTTTTGATGCACCCTATTCAGCACAGTGTTTAAAATACATCCAACATACTGGCACAGCTACTGAGGTGCCTGTCACCACCTTCGCGCAGCAGTTAATTCCCAGCCAGTGTTTGCTCTTGTTCTTAGCACAGCCGTGTCTCACTCTTCTGCAGGCAGCGGGCATATGAGTAGGTGAATCTGTCAAAACGACTTGCAAAAGCTGCAAATGACATGGTGTGGAAACCACACAGCTTGCCTGAACAGCAGCAAATTCACCTCAACAGAATTGGGCTGAATTTGTCATACCTTAAATGCCCACCAACCAATGCACAGCCTACTCGTTTCTCACACTTTTAAAATGCACAGCTTGTTTGTTTGTATACAGCTACCGTGGCGTGGCTAACTGCAAGTTTCTTCCTTCTGTTTCCCTTCTCCAGTCATACACCCATAGCCTGAGATATTTCTTGACATGTAAATCAGAAAAATACAATATTTTGCTAATGAAACAAAAATTAAAAATTCTCAAGTCTTCTTAGTACTAGTATATACATGATATCCATACATTAAAATAGCTTGAAATACTAGAGAACTATTTTTGTCTACTTACCCGTTCTGCACAAGTTGCACATCTCTCTTTTTCCTGTATGATTTATCTAACATGGAAATATTAATAGGAAAAAGACCCTCCATCAAGTCTAGAGCAGTTTTTCTAATAGGATGAGGCATGAGAACGTCAACCAGAGAACTGTCTTTGGCAATGATCTCCATAGCAAGTTCTTCATATCGCTGGTCTTCAGGAGACTGCAGCCTCCTTTTCGGCAGATACTTCTCTTTTTCTGGGAGAATATCATCTTGGCTATTGTGCGTGGATGTTTCCTTTGCAGCTAAACCGTTGACTGTGTTTTTTTCTCCCTGATGAGACTGAACTAAAAACGTGGTGTGGCAGCATGCTGCTTTCTCCTGAGGGACTGCAGCATCATCTGCCTCTAACTGCTGTTCTGGACATTTCATGAAAACATTGCCGTTCAGAGATTTTGTTCTGCACTCCTTCTCCACTTGATTATCTTCCTTGCCTCCACTTCTTGGGATAGCAATAGAGGTTTCAGGAGTTAGCTCCTTACCATCCTGACAGCACGTGCTTCCAGTTACGTTATCGTCTTTATCTTCACGACTCTTACATTCATCTTTCTCAGGATTACGGAAACTATAAGAAAGAAGACAAAAGTTGCATTTATTTGGGAGACTTTATAATAGATACTTTTGTGGACTGAACATTTTAAGTAGCTACAGCTAATTATCATTATAATTCCAGCCTCTTCTTTTTATTAAAGTTTTAAAACTTTTCATTCTGTAACAGCTATTCATTTTGCTTGAGATAAACAGGGCACGGGGACGAAAAGGGAGTATGTAAAACGCGCGGCTGCCCCACTCTCCGCTGTCTGAATCCCCACTCAACTTCTGGTTTTCTAGTGATGCCCGGTTTCTAACGACGACCCATGCTGCTATCTCGACCTGCTCTCCCTAGCAGCGGGCGGGCGGCCGGGGCGCTGCGCGGCGAGGAGCCCTCCGCGGGGACGGGCGAGCGCCAGCTCCGGGCTGCTGCCGATTCCAGCTCAGGACTGCAGCCTCCGAGGACTGCCAGAAGTCCTGCGCTGCTGACAGGAAAGCACAAACTAGGTAACAAACGAGAAGAAAGCGCTGAGGCAAAGGGAGAGTTTCTAGCCGGCATCCAGAACGCGAGCAACGTGATTCCCCAGCAAGGACAAGGGGCTCTCGCGGAGACCGAGGAGTTTTCTGCAGTCACTGGTTTGGGGTGTTCCCTCTTGTTCAGTGTATGGCCCTTGGCAGGAACGTCACCAATGTTTCAGGCATCTCCTCAGCAGCTGCCCTATCTTAGAAATGGGGTGCAATTATAATTTTTACTTAGGCACATGCTACGGTTGAGCAATGAGACTATGACTGATGATGCAGTCCTGTGATCGCAGATCGATACATCTCTGTGAAGCGATACACGATGAAAGGAAGAGATGAAAAGACACCTAAGAAAACCACGGCAAACATCAGAGATCCTTAGGCCTTATTCCCGCTTGTTCAGGGCCCGTTACAGTGGCAAAGGGTAAGACCAGCAGGCTAAGGGGGTAAAGGGTAAGATCAGATCCTGCAGGCTAAACAAAGCATTCAGTGCAGATATCAGGGAAAACGGATAATAGCGATGAAAATGACTTAAAAATTGTATGTGCAGAATGATTGCAAAACGCATAAAATAAAGTTTTTTTCCATGACATATAGACAATACTGGTGTGGGTAATAAATCATAGTTTGTTCTTTCTGTGGGTCCTAATTTGATTTTTTTTTTGAAGTAACTGATAACGCAAACATAGACTAGCGTGGATTTTCTACTGCAGCTCAACAGTACTTTCTTGTAGAGCACAATAAAGAGAAAAAATAACATACAACTGAAACAGACAAAACCTGTACTTACAGCTCGTTCCCACAGACAAACATCTAAATGAATAAGCAATGAAACCAATTCTGGATCTTTTCTTTACCTAGCAGGCATTATAGAGCTATGGTCAAATATACTTCTGACCTCGCAGTGTTCTGCCCAGAGCTTTCAGTTACATTCATCATGACCTGCTAAGCCTCCAGCTGAACTGGGAAATTTAAACAAAACATTAAATCTTAATAAAAATACAAATTTCACTAAGATAAGCAACTCTCCAGAAACCATTCACACCTTTTTGAGTGACTGAAACAGGGGAATTTCTATTTACGGAGATTATTACACAAGCGTCAGCACCACTTCCTCGTCGAGCGAAAGCTCAGCTGCTTTTCTCCCCTATGCTCCTAACTGAGCAAAACAAATATCGAGGATGAACACACGCTTTCTAGTTAGTTATGTGTAAACCGCACAGTAATTTTATCCTTCAATAAAAACGCATCCAAAGCCCCTATTACCATTATGCAAGTACACAGGTTTTTCAAGACTATGGGTCTATCTGAGCTAACTCCAGATGCTGTTTTTGCTGGAGACCAGACGGGGGAGCGACGATCTCAAATATCCGCAGGAGAGCTGCTGCTTGCTACAGGGAGAGCAGCTCAGTTTCCAGTACGTTGTGCATTTTCCAGTTTTGCTCTGCATAGCAGAAACCATTTTAAAGACTGCTCCAAAGGGAAAGAAAATAGTACAGCACATAACAACTCCCATATGAGCAACGAAGGATCCCAGGAGGCAAGGACAGAAGCTATCACAGCTGCTAGTGAAGCTCCCCACGTCTTAGACACGGGCTGTACCGCCCTCTCTCAGCGGATAACCGATGCACCCCTAGAAGGTGTTACCTATCTCGCATGGGTGCCTGCCAGGCTGCCTGCACAGCGCGTACTGCTGCGAGGTGAGGGCTGCAGCTGGCTCAGGAATTTGGACTGTGCTCCCAGGAAACCTTGCCTTTTTCAGCAATGCCGCAGGGTCCTGCCTGTAGCCGGCTTTTCTCAAAGACCTCCTGCAGCTTTGTGACCTTCACATCAGTATTTTGGGCCAAGTCAGGCAGTAGACAAAGGCACCCCCCACACAGATACACCCAAGAGGACAGAGAGAAATAAAAGCAGCATAACACAGGCCAAGAGAATGACCCAGCTACACTTGATTTAGATTTGAGACACCTGACACGACATCCGGCAGGGGTGATTCTGTGATTCTTTAGTCCGTATTTGGTTCGTTCTTTGCTGAAAAGTCTCTTTTGCTGCCCCCCTCAATGACAAAGCCAGGCTGGTAACAGGACCTGTAACTGTGGCCAACAGTGCCGGTGGCTCCGGCTCCCCGCTACGCCCTCCCGAGTCACCTGGCTGCTTCTCCAGCACCGGTGGCCATCTGTGCAGCAGAGAGCACAACGGGTAAGGCTGTTCTCAGCCTCCCAGGGCGGGGGGACAACAGGGCTCCCAGGAGCTGCTGCTGGCG